TTTATTTGAGGTTGTTGAATGGTAAAGCATGTCAAATCTTTGTATATAAGGATGGAGGTTCCTCTACAATTTCTAATCGATTACAAAATGAAAACATTATCTCTTGAACTACTTTAAAACACTTAGTTGTAAATTTAGAGAGATCTGAAATGATGGATCACGTTGTGGAACAATAACTACCCAATACAAGGAATGTGGCTCTTTGAATAAGAGTACTTCAACATTAACTAACTGTACCTGGTTTACATATTCATATGAACTCTTTCACATATTTTCATCACATTACTTATACCAAGATGTTTTAAAGTAATTACAGAAAAGATATGTTAGCCAAATTTCTTGTTTGGGGCAAATAATTATCTTTAAAAAAAAATAGTTTCTGAACTTGGTTGTCCTTTTGTTTATGAATGTATTCACTTATTTATTCATGAATTCACTCATTCATTATGTACCACAAAAGTGAATGGTTATTTTGTCAGGAGCCATGCTTGACTTAAGCATTGAAAAAAGTAGAGTGTCACTTTAAGAGCTTCTGAGCTCTCAGCTTCAGCGGTCAGAGCCAACAGGCTGTGCCTCCATGATAAATCAGGTTTCTTAGAAACTTACTTTCAGTTCAGTCTTTGGGCACCGGAGTTGGTGAGGTAATGCAGCAACCTGCTGGTCCGTAGTTACTTTCTGTTAGTAAAATATCCTTGGTGATTCCTTGGTTACCCCAAATATGATTCCTATATAAGATCTGTGTTCCTCACAACAAAAAGCCATTCTGTGATTGCTCACCTGACTGCTAAGAAACTTTTTATGAAAATCAAGACCTTTGTCTTGACTCTTTTCTTGTTGAAGACCCAAGCCTGGTGGGCTTGGGGGCGTTCGACATTATTTTGAATTGGTTACTGTTATGTGCTAAATAAGATACAAACAGATCAGAAACAATGCTTGTCATCAGAATTATTGCAGGTGCTGAAATCTATAGCTTGCCACGTCCTGGAAAGCAAGAATGAAAGAATGTTTCAGAAAAATGGAGAGGATTGCTCTGATTCTTTAAGCACAGGTAAACAGACCACAGGTAGAGAAGGTAGAGAAAAGCATTGCAGTAACAGGGAGTTTTATGTGTAAAGGCATATCCACACAAAAGCCTGATGCGGTATCAACAGTGCTACATGAAAAACAGAGGCATGAAAAACAAAACCATGTCAAACTATACAATTCATTTCATCTTTGAATCTCATTTATATTTGATGCCCTCCTCTACTCCAGGTGTTCTGCAAACTTGCCCATTCATAAGAATCTCTTGGAAATTGTATGAAATTCAGATGCTCATGGCCCATCAGTGGAAATTATGTCTAAGAAGTCTGAATCTTTGGCAAGTAATACTTTTCACAAGCTTCCCACATTTGGGAAGATTATAGTAGGACAAGTTTGAGAAATAAAATTTTATATTAATTTAATTGCACTTTGTATTTAATGTACTGGGCATCCACAAGATATTTCAACTAAGAAAACATGAGTCTGCTGATTTTTAGTTTATTTCATTTTGTTTCCATAAATTGCTACTTTAAGAAGCATAAAAGGAAAACAATGTTTTAGAAATAGGCCACCTTTTGAAGGATATTTCAGATGTGGAAGAGAGTTAAGTTTTAAAATATTTTATTTTATTTTTATTTGTATGAGTGTATTGTCTGCATGGGTAAGTGCACCCATGTCATGTAATGCCCACAGAAGACAGAAGAGAGCATCCGATTCACCTGGAGTTTTGAGTGGTTTTTAGCTGCAGTGTGGGTGCCAGTTCTCTTAACTGTTGAGCCACCTCTCCAGCCCCATAAAGAGGGATAATTTAAGAGACTTCTGTAACAGATCACGTAGTGCATAATGAGAGCTTCAGTTCAAGCCTAAGCAGTGAGATGATGGTGGTGGTGGTGGTAAAGGAATGTAGGCTGTATTTACAAGGTACAGTGAATGGGGATAATTTTTTTAACTTTTAAAAAATATTTATTTTATTTTATGTGTATGAGTGTATTGCATGCATGTAGGTAAATGCACCCACCCGTGTCCTGCAGTGCTCACGGAGGACAGAGAGGCCATCGGATCCCCTGGAACTGGAGTTACAGACAGTTGTTAGCTGTCATGTGGGTGCTTGGTTTCGAACCCGGGACTTCTGCAAGAACAACCAATGTCCTTAACTGCTGAGCCATCTCTCCAGCCCGAAATGGGGATATTTTTTATTGAAAGTGAAATGAGAAGGGGATTCCAAGATGACACTGATAGAGAGGAAAACTGGGCCCCTTTCTTAGGGTTCTTAATTATTAATGAATAATAAAAGAATTTATGAATGGACTCAAATGGAAGATGTAGGACAATTTATGAGAGTTTGTATTTGTTTGTTTTTAATTGCTGTGATAAAACAAAGACCAAAACCAACTTAGGGAGGAAGGGTTTACTTTATCTTAGATCTTCCAGTTCATCACTGAGGGAAGTCAGGGCGGGAACCTGGAGGCAGCAGCTAAGCACAGGCCGTGGAGGAAAGCTGCTGTCCTTGCTGTCCTGGCCTGTGCTCAGCCTGCTTTCTTATACAATACAGGACCAGATGCCCAGGGGTGGCACCACCTACAGTGGGCCAAGCCCTCCCATTTCAGTCAACAATCACGATAAAGCCTCATAGACATACCCACAAGGCTAATCTAATGGAGGAAATTCCTTAGGTGAGGTTTCCTCTGCCAAGGTGTATCAAGTTGACAAAGCTATCCTGCTATCCTGGGAAGGAGAATGGAAGAAAGAAAGAAAAGAGATGGAAGAGGAAAAGAAGAAGTTCAACAGTCAGAAATGAGGAAAATGTGAATTAAGTCAAAATATATCACTACACCCTTGACAGGAAAAAAATTATTTGAAAACAGTGCTTATGATGATAAACATCAACTGGAAGACTCATTTACTGGTGTGAGTGCAAAATATTGTAGTCATTCTGCAATGCACTTTCTAGTAAGCTTGAATACATGATTACCAAATGTCAGGGAAATTCTATCCTAAGTATTTACCTTTAAGAAAAGAAAAATTTTTACCCGAAAATCTTTTGTACATGTTGGTTAACATATAAATGATTTGGTACTCTTCTATTCTAATGGTAAAAGCATGCAATCATTTTGAAAAATAGTTTGACATTTCTCACGAAGTAATTATTATTTTGCCCCTCAACCTATTCCTAGGCATAAAACCAAGAGAAATGGAAAAACTTGTACATGAATGTCCATTACAACTTTATACATAGTTAGCAAGGTAGAAAATAAGTGTAAATATCTTTTCAGAAATAAATAGAATGGAAAAACAATTGGTGATACAACGATTACAAGCTTCAAAGTATCGACCTCCAAGCTAGCAGGGATGAATCTCAATGATATTAGTCTAAGTGAAAGAAGCCACATTCAAAAGGTCACATGCACTGTATGAACCTATTTACAGTACATTTTTAAAAAGGCATTTTTAAAACTATATGGAATGAATGCTTTTTAGTTTTAAAGAGTAGGAAAATGGCTTTGCCTAAAAGGCACAATGTAATGGAAGATTTTAGACTAATGTAACTGTCTTGCATATCAACTGTTACAGTGGTTCCAAACACTCATTTGTTAAATTCACATCTACGACAGCAAAAATTTAGTTCTTATAGTACATCAATTATGAAACTGAAATAGTAAGCATATCCAATGCCATATTATATAAATCTGAATTACATTAATTAATAATTAATATAATGTGTTGACCTGATAAGCCTAATAATGCTTCCAGTTCATTGAAATTTTATATACTACATCTGCAAACAATATTTTTCTATATTTATATATAATAACAAGGACATTCTTTCAGACTTTGGCTTTGTTTGAATTGTCTTCTTCTAATATAGCAAAACTGAAGCACAGGGCCTTCTTGCTGATAACTGCTACGTGGGTTTTTCTGTCATTTACTTCTTCTTTGTGGGTGAATGATACATATATGTGCATTCATGCTTGAAGATGTGAGTGCACATGTGTCATGGTGCACACGTGGAAGGAAGAAAAGCTTTGAATATTGGTCCTCATCTACCCCTTTGTTGAGGCCAGGTCTCTTTATTCAACTGCATAGACCAAGCTAGTTGACCCACAAGCTTCCATTGGATTCTATCTCCATGTCCCATCTCATCAAAGGAACACTGGGATTATGCACATGTGCTGACATACTTAAGTTGATAAAGGTTCTAAGGATTCAAACTCAGGTCCTTGTGGTGCATTGCAAGTGCTTTACCCACTGAGTGATCTCCCTGGCCACTCAATTGTCATTGTATGCTGATAGAAATGCTTGTTTATGAGAGAAGTCCCAATGTTTTTCCCAGGCTGGCCTTCCTGCTCAGCATTTTATTAGGGGTTTAAAAAGACGTAATATGGAAAGGCATCACAATCTCATAGGTGACTTCATATGAAGTTTTAGACAATTAAATACTTTTTTAACCTAAGAATTTTTTTCACCTAAGTTATTGAAAACCAGGAAGGCAGAAATGTTACTAGAGATGTTTGAACATGGACAGCAGGCTTTCTAGTTTTAGGGAAGTGACTCTCAAGGGCAGAAACAAAAGAGGAAAAGAAAGACTAGAGGTCACACCAGAATCCTAAAAATGGGGACATGTTCACTTTGATGACATAAAGCAACTTCTAAATTAACTTTGTGTTACTTTAAATTGGGAGTGTGCATATAAAATAAATATAATTCCACCTGCATTCTAGGATTTACCTTCAGTAAACAGAGCAGTGGTGGAATAGCAAACATTAGCTCCATGTCACTGCAAAATATAGAACCCTCTAGCAAGAACAAAACTATGATCAGACTATCATATTATTTGGGGGAAGGGTGCTGTGAATTAGCCTCAGGACATTGTGCGTGCCACACTATACTAACAGCTCTATCACTGAGCTACATCGTGTCCTACCATAATTTTCAAAGGCATTAAAGAGTTTTAGAAAAAAAAATAACACAGTATAATGAAAATAAAGTGGTTTTCATTGATATACATTAAACTAGAAATTCTTTACCAACGTGGGATATTTGGCAGACTGAAAAAAAACACACTCCACAGTGGGCTATACCACTAGTATGGTTCTTTACTGTCTTGTGGCCTACCATGACAATTCAGTCAGACAAGGTCCCAGAGTGGAATGAAGGAAATGGGACATCCCTAGCTTGGGAACTGTTGTAGACCAGTTACTACTGGGTGAAGGACAGTAGACCTTCCTTATGATCTGTAGATTGACTAGACTCTAGTGGATGAACTTACACTGAAGGACATTTGGGTACAAATGCTTGAATGAATGGAACTTAGCATGTATGGTGGAATGCATGAGGTCTGGAGGGGATAGGAGAGTACGGATTGGGGAGGTCTAAATTTGATAAAGAACTGTTGCATGAAATGTGCAAAAGCTCAGTAAAAATATTTTTAAAAGAGAAAAAGGCTTAGAAATTCGATTAAATAAAAGGTAGTTCCTCCAACATGCTTAATGGATTTTCACTGTATCTGATAAATATAAATATTTGTAAATGTTTTCTAAATTACTTTAGTGACCTTAAAGCATTGTATTCAGAAAGGGAAGTCAGCAGTGGAGTAACCACAAAATATAGATCTCAGACTCTGCATAAATTCTGATTTTGTAGTTTTGAGATGAAGCCTGTGATGAGGATGAAGAAACTGCTCCTTTTGAAAAAAATCTTGTTTGATACTAATGTATTTCAGCAGGTTCTAATATGAAAAATGCACATTGAGAGAAAAATTGTTCATTTTATAACTTTATTAAATGTTTACTATTTATAGAATCTTAAAGACTCCTTTAAAGAACAAATTTTCCAAAGTTCTAAAATTCTTCATGTGTGCATATGTATGTATATATAATTTTATATATGAGTATTGTATTTGCAACATTTTCACCCCTCCCATTCCCCCTTCCAACTCCTCGCTTGTGCCCCCTCATTTTGTGCCTCTCAATTCTTTTCTTCATTATTGTTACATACATATACATATGTACATGTGTTTAGAACTGAAACACTTGGGATTAGATAAAGTATGAGGCAGCTAGTCCCTGGAGAAAACTGATTCACCCCTCCTCAGCATACAATGATTGCCTATTACACTTGGTTACCACCCATAACTTGAAGGTGAGACCCTATTGCCGAAGACAGGACATAATTTGGACACATGAATTGGAGCGATTGAGCTGGAACTGACCTGGAGTCCTCCTCCCTGAAAACTAGCTCTAACAGTATCTGAATATACTATGCGAGCTGTCAAATGAGAAAAGCAATCAATGGTCTTTCTGAACTATAAAGTCTGTGAACCACAACAATGACCATTCCAGCAAACTATCGCTATTGGTAAAGTAGGGGCAACTTACATCTCAGTGGTAATCAACAACTGTCTAGTCTAAATGAACTTAAGGCCTGCTCAACTAGAGGGAAATCATATGTGGTACTGTAAACATAGCGAAGTACACAGGGTTGGAGAGGTCATAGATCCTAGAGAGAAACCTACTTCTGCCACTTGGCCTAGACCAATGTAATTTCTCAGTATATTCTAAACGCAGAGTCTTATATTTACAGGCAAGTGTCAAAATAGCTTCTTTTTGCAACAGATGGAGATTACTACAATGTTCTACAACTGGTCAAAATACAGAGAATGACTGTGTGTTTCCCAAGCCTAACTGATATATCTACAATACAACCTCTACACACACCTAAGGCTCAGGGAAAATCATGGAAAGGGAATTTGTGGAAAGTTCTAAGAACCAATGCGAATGGGGGAACTTCACAGAGTCTCACCTCTATATGTGGTGTTTTATAGAAATGTTTTTATTACATTTATTTGCATGTGTGTGTGTGTGTGTGTGTGTGTGTGTACATGCATGTATGCCATGGTGCAGGTATGGAGGTCAGAGGGCAACTTGCTGGGGTCTGTTTTATCTTCTACTATGTTGGTCCCAGGGATCAAACTAAGGTTGGGAAGATTGGTAGCAAGGTGTCCTACCTAGCAAAGCATCTCATTCGCCCTCAATTTGTTCTCTATAAATATAAATACTTGTCCTTTCAAAAGATCCAATATAACTTCTAAGGTAGTTTGAGCATTGTTTTGTATCTGAGGAAGGTACATATGATTTTGCATCTCTTAACAAGACATAAATTTATCAGCTCTTTAGATAAAATCTTACTGTTAAAATTACCTCACTCCAGGGGCTAGAGAGATGTCTCAGTGGTTGGGAGCACTGACTGCTCTTGCAGAGGACCTGGGTTCAATTGCCAGTACCCACATGGTGGCTATGAGTTGTCCTTAACTCCAGTTCCAGGGGAATTCTATGCCCTCTTTGTACCTCCGAGGCATTGCATGATACAGTGCACACTCATACACATAAAATAAATAAAATGTTAAAAAAATAACTCACCCCCCCATTTTTTTTTGACTTCTTGTGTACTACATACAGAACATCCCAATCAATCTTAATCATCTTTATACCCCTTTTCCCACTAGCACCCTCCCATTGCCCCCTCCAAGGGAATTCATACATTCTGCCATTTGTCTTAAGGCCTACTGTGTTGTTAGTGTCCTCAGAGTCCCTCAGTGCAAGTTAACCTACTGCGGTCTAGTCAGCTTATCTAGAGTCCCTCACTTTAGGAAGATTTCTTAGCCAATAGTAATCAGTTGCCAATATTTCTTCAGCTAAGATTGGGTTCAGCTGTCCATTTCCCCAGTTCTATGCTGTGTTTTAGTCTGCTTGGATTTGCATGGGTCCTGTGCATGCTGAAACCATTGCTGTAGGTTCATATGAGCAGGGTCCCATGAGTTTGCAGGACTCTATTTCCATATGGTTATGCATCTCCTTTCTTGCTCTTACAATCTTTCTGCCCCCTCTTCTGCAATGGTCCCTGAACCCTGGGTGGGTGGAGTTTAATACAGAGTCCTGTCCAAGGACCAACATTCTGCAGACTCTTAGTCTCTAAAGTTTGGTCACTTGTGACCTTTTGTGTTCCCAACCCTCTGTTGCATGAGGGCTTCATTAATGAAAATTGAGATATTCATTGTCGTCTTTACCCCTTGTTGTAGGTTCCATGAGCTTTAGGTGTACAGATTACATTGTAGATGTGCCACTTAGACTCAGGCAATTCACAGACAATGTCTGTGTGTAGCCAGTTGTGATACTCTGTAATGGTCTCTGTGTGGTGCAAAAACAGCTTCTTTCATGAGTGGTAACTGGGATATTTGTCTCTAAATATAAAAATACATATTTTGCATATATAAGTGCGGGAGACCACCCCACAATGTGACTCGGTTCCGGCCTGCAGAACTTCGAGGTACCTGGATTGGGGGGCGGGGCCGTGGATGAGGCAAACTACAAGAGAAATGGAGACAAGACAGGAGTCTGATCAAGTCTCGTTTATTGAAGCTCAAGCAAGAATTTTTATAGAGAATGAAAACAAAGGAACACAGACTGCAAACCATACATCAGTCAGAGCATAAGGGCTCTGACGCACATTAAGGGAGGAATCTCTGATTATAGAAGAATAGAACCGTATGCTGGAAAGGAGAGCAAGGCCGTGGGCCAGGGCCATCTAGCAAGGCTATCTGGCCCCGGCCTCAAGCCAAGGTTTTGGGCCAAAGTTGCAAGCCAAAGCCGTGGGCCCCGGCTGCCTGCCAGGGTTTCCAGGCCAAGGCTGCGGGCAGAATGGAAAGCTGCCAACTCGGGCCTGCCAGCAGTTTTGAGAGGTATCTGAGACTCAGTTGAACCTCAGGCTCCCAGGCTCCCAACATATAAGAACTTATATTAGTCTAGGGATGTGACCATTTTGGGGTTTTCTCTAGGATTTATGACCTCTTTAGCCATGTGTATTTGGCTATGTTTACAGTAGCACACATGAGTTTCCTCCCATTGAGTGGTCTTTTAGTCCAATTAGGTAGCTGTTGATTGCCCCCAAGTTAAAAGTGCCACTACTGCACCAATGTCATATGCTTTGCAGCTCATTGATGTGGGTATTTGGTCTTGAAGCTGGTGTTGGATCATCGATTGATGTTCTCCCTTAACACCTTGCATAGTGCTTTCCAAAGCTATCATAGCTAGCCTTCAGGGTAAGTGGCTTCCAGGTCAGTTTCGGCTCCATTGCTCCAAATCATGTGTCCAAAGCATGTTCTGTCTTCAGCAGTAGGGTCTTACCTTCAAGTCCTGGGAGGCAGTCAAGAGCTGTGGCAATAGCCTGTGTATTTTGGTGGGTCTCTTGGACCACCCTGACCAACAACTCATGGAGAGTTTCTCCTGCCTGGCACTTTTTCTTATGTAGCCTCTAGCTATACACACGGACTCATTTAGAGATATTGTATGTGCAATTTGTCATTAGGTTGTTGGACTAATATGATTTCCTGTTTTTTTATACTAGCTAGGCATTATTTCTCTCTTTCCTCTCTCTCTCTCCCTGTCTAACCCTTCCACCATGACTTCCCCATTTCCCCTTGATAATACCAGTCCCCTATGGTCCCACCTCTCTTGAGCTCCTTCTTTCCCTTTATCCCCAAAGTTCCTTGTATAACCCTCCTTCCTCCCTCCTATTTAAATACCCCCATTTTATACATTTCTTCCTTAGTAATACCAATCTCCTACTGTTGTTCTCTCTCAGGTTCCTTTTCATTATCCTGGTTCCTGCAGTTACATCATGATAATACTCACAACAAGCAGATGAGTTCCTTCAAATTTACTTACCTTATACGAGTTAAAATGGAAATCACTTCTTCATTATACTGACTCACACTGACCGGAAACATTTATGTATGGTTTTTTATTTGCTTTCTTTTATGAAGCACTGGATTGTTCCAAAGTTCAGTTTGATTATATGACACTAAGGACAAGTTACTCCTTTATTTGTTGGATCTGATGTTCTGGAGCCTAGTGTAAGATGCTAGTCCAAAGCAATGAACAATAAAATTAGTATAACAGTTCTTTCTTGACACTTTCCAAGCAATGTGACATCAGTTAGGCACATATCCTTTCTTAGTACTCACTTTTCATGGATCTGTATGTTAGGATAAACAATTTCTCACATTACTTCTGTGTCTAAACTTCTGATTTTTTAAAATATATTTTTTAAAAGTTAAACTG